GAAGTAACCCTTCAATGCCGGGGGGTATGTTAAGTCATTAAGACTATTTAACTGTAAGATTACGTCATTTTTTCTCTTCTTGGCGCCTTGCATGGCGCAGATGTTCATTACAGCAACCCTGTAAACGCTTACTCAGTTTTTTTTTATTGCTGTTGTTATTAGTAGTAAGTCATCGCTTGAAAGATGGCACGCATTTGATTAAAGTTGTCGAATAAAATATTTAGTACAGTCCACTTCTAGTTAATTTGAAATTGTTGTATAACAACGCACGCATCGCATGAACAATAATTTTCATATCTTTGAGAAATTTCTCTTTTATTTCTGTTCCTTCTTTCCTTTTCTTTTAAATTTTGATTATAAAATTTCATTTAAAAAGCTGATTATTTAAATGTATAGAAGCTATTTTTTTCTTTATTAGAACATCAGAGAAATATGAAATACATATCATAAGGTCCGGTTACAGAGCTGGTGTGACATAATTTTGTTGAATTTAGTGACACACCAAGCAACAAAATCTAGAAATGGCAAAACTTTTATAATTTAGAACAGGCATTGGAAGCAGAATTTAGGATCCACAGAGATTGCATCAGGTGGGAAAATGCCTAACACCAGCCTTGTGTAAGATTGCATCCAAATCCAAAGAGCACATCCGAATGAGTTGTAATCGTATCTGAATGAAATAATGAGTTGATCTCACAAGGAATCTATGATGATGACATGCATTTTTTAATGAGTTTGCAAAATAAATTGAAAAATATGGATGAAACTCATAAAGCGAAATTTAAGCTCAGGATCATGTACGCTGTGTATGATCCTGTAGATGACTGATGCCATCGATTATTTTTAATTGTATTATGAAAATTCCTTAAAAAATGTATGCTTGCAAAAATTTTATTTTTTTCTGTACAAATAATTATTATTACTCTCTTTCTGTTTATTAATTTTGTATAAATTATTATTATCATTTTCTTCCTGTTTAATTATTTTTGTATTTAAGAATAAATTTATTGGAAAAGCTGGAAATATTGTATTGCTATTTGCTTCAAATGCTGATTTTCTTTCCAAACAAACTTCATAAATTAATTTTAGTAAAAAATCAAATCAAGATCAAGAATCTGTTTTTAGGGGGGGGACAGTAAAAATATTACTTAAATAAAAAGAAAACATTATTTTCACTTATTTAAGAATAGCCACAATAGTCAATTCAATAGTGTAAAGCTTTGTATGAGTAATAAAAAATTAATCTTTTGAGAAAATGCTCTTATGAAGTCGAAGAAGGAAAAAATGTAGTGAAATATCCTTAAAACAACAATCAACAGTCTAGACAATTTTGTATCCTGACGATGTTCTCTTCTGTTTTTTAATTATGTTCTCCATGAAGGAATTTATTTTTTAATGAACTGAATACACATAATTCATACATGGATTATAATTTAATGATATATTTGTTATTATTATCTACTCTTTATTTATCATTTTAAATGGAATTACGATCATTAAATTCATGCTATTTCTCTGGTAGAATTCCTCTAAGATGAATGTTTATAATTTTGTTGTATTTGAAAACTTGGGTACCTAAAATTTGTCGATGTGAAATTACTTTTGAGACATTGTTCGTAAACAGAAATGACAGCATATGTTGAAATTAAATTCTTTTTGGTGCTTTAATATGCATGTCTGCCAATGAGTGATAGAAAGTCCTCCACGAAGGCATTTCTCCCCTTAGGCAGATAGCCCTCAAGGCTTTGCCATAATTAAATAACCTAACCTAACCTGCCAATGAGTGAAAAATTGTCATAATCTGTCAGCAAATGAAAAATCATTAAAAGTAATTACTTCTGACAACAGACGTGGATGAAACTTATATCTATTCATCTCAAAGCAACTACGTGGATGAAACTTATATCTATGGTCACTCAAAACAGAGGATGAACTTATATCTATTTTGAATTTATTTAATACTCGGTGACATAACATATAAGTTTGCAGAATGATCCACAAAATTCCTGAAAGTTAGTGTTTACTTTGTACTGTATTCTCTCGAGTGTAAACCCCTTTTTCTTCCAGAAAAAGTATGTGAAATTCAAGTGCTTATACATGCAGATGATTAGAAATAGATGTATACAAACAGCTGGCAACACAACAAAATATATTTAATGATTGAGTATAAAATATATTGTTGGGTGAACGTTTCATAGTATTGTACAAGTTTAGTTGTGGTTGCTGGTTATGGTGACCAGTTATGGGATACTAGTACTAGTGATAATTGAGAGTGGTAGTGCAGCCAACTACTGTAGTGATCGAAAGTGACAGTGAATAAGGAGTGCTAAGCACAGAAACGTGTTCCTTTTGATTAAAAAAAAAAAAAAAAATGCATGGTAAGTACTGTTTTCTGCTTAAACTGCTTCAACACCTTCAAAAGGAAAAATATATACAAGCTATCTGTCCTTATCCTCCAATTTCTTTAATTAGCATATTTAGAATATCGTATTTCTCCAAGAGAATTACATATAAAAAGTTAGATTATATATAATATGCATCACTGTTATATATAGAAAGTACTACAGTGCAATGCAAAAATATTCCATACTACTTTGCACAGAAATATGTGCCAACCAAGTATTGGTCTTTCCAAAAAAATATCTCTACACCATTTCGTTCTTTTCCTTTTTTTTACCTTCTTTCATTGGCCACAGCTTAGACCCGTCTTGTAGGTGTGAACAGACCTCCTGTATTTTATGACCTTATGACTACGCCTCTATGTCCTTTATGCCGCCGTCTGAACGCAGCCTTAAGAACCGTACAAACCCTATTAATTGGTCATTCACAGTCAATCTCAAACTTTTCCAAACCAATTATAACCACTAAGCAATTAAAATTAGGTGCGGCATACATTTTCTAAATCACCCGAAGAAAAGACTAGTAGGGTATTTTTCTCATTTTATTCGCCATAAGAATTCTCCGAGATTATTTCATGCTCACAAAATATCTCTCAAGAAAATATTACATTTGTCTAATCTTGTTTCCTTTATAGTCCTAGGACCAAGTAAGCAATATTGGTGACCTGCTCCAAGTGAAGCCTTTTTTCCAAAGCTGCCGTATCTTACAATAAAATAAATTTAAACCTTCTCTTCCAAGCTTTCAGACAAAGAGGTCTTATTTTAAGCTCACATTCGATCCTTAGATGGGTAATCCATAGTTTGCTTCTCATTAACCCTTTGACATGCAATGGTCACGCCCTGAAACCCAAAATTTTCGAATTTTTTTCTCCTCTTCTTTTCGAAATTTTTGAGTGAAAATCAATTTGATTACTGAGCTTTTACCTCTAAGTAACACAAAATGATTGCGGATTCATACATGTTTTAGGTCTTAGTGCTTCAAATTGGACGTTTTTAAAATTCATTTTCAATGAGACAGAATAACTTTCTTTTATTAATATAAACAACTTTAATTTTCAAAAGTTATTCATCGCACATCATGATTTCTATCATAAACAATAAAAAATAGCAATAATAACCTGCATATCTATAAAAAATTTAATGTATGGCATTTGCTTTGTGGTGTTTCAGGGCGACCATTGCGCCACTAGAGCTTGTGTCCAGCTTACAATGTTCTAGAGGCTTGTGGTCGTGCCTTGAAACCACTGCTCTTCACAATGCATTTGCTTGCTTCTCAAATAGGAATGTTTATTTTACCCAACATAGATAAGAGGTTTGAACACAGTGTTATTTTATACTAAACAATACATACACTTGCCCAGTAAAAGGTCTTCTTTTCCAGAGACATTTTCTGACCTCAACACACTTGCTCCTCAAGCTAGTATTGTGATTTTATAAATGATTTCCTGTGGCTTTAAGTTTAATGTAAATATACTTTGCTATAATTTAAAATAAAAATCGCATAAAGTTTTATTAAAATTAAAAATATTTTGGATGAAATAAATAAAATAAGTAGGAATGGGAAACGAACAATCCATACCAAAGCCCCTCCCATTAACATAAAAAACCACAAATTTCATGTGCCAAATCAAAAGAAACTAAATAACGCTGGACATATACCAGTGAAATTTAGATCCAGGCAGTATACATTTTGTAGCACAAGGAAGAAACCTCCTAGAAGATACATGTGTGACACATGCACCAAAAAGACAAAGCATGCTTTGAACAGCGTCACAAAAAAATGTGTTCTTTGAAATGAAAAGAAAAAACACTTAGTCTTTTTCTTTTCCTCATTTTACTCAGTTTTTTTCAATCCATTTAGCCAAATGTCCTTATTATGTAGGTAATTATATTTTCACTGCCATAGAAAAATTGCATAAATGTTTATTTTTTAATTTTTCTGACGATTTACTTCGTAAAATAATGTAGAAAAATTATATATAATGCAATTCTTACATATATTTTTTTAACTCGTAAATTTCGTTAATTTATTGGAAACGCTCACGGAGAAAGGTAAGTTTTTCCCCCTACAACCTCAGTAAGTTTCAAAGTCCTAGATGCACGGTGGTTTCACAGTGTGACCACCGCCCACAGAAAAATGGGCAAGAGTAGATTTTTTTAATTCATATATTATTTGTCTCTAGGATCATAATATTTAATTTCAAGAGTTTTTAGTTACAAAAATTATAAAAATAGTATTGCGTGCGTCAAAGGGTTAAGGGAAGGGAAAACATACAACCTCTCTCTGCGACATATACAAAAGCATAAAGATCCTTTATTCACAATCTAATCGTTTAGATTTTACTGGCACCCACAGCTCAATATCTATTTTCTCGATATTTTCTGTCAAGGAATCAACAATACTTAGAAACAAACCTGAAGCCAGAATCCCTACATAATATTAGCATAAATTCCAGTGAACTGTTATTTATAAAAATAAGTTGAGCTCAATATAAACAAATATACATATAAAGCTTAGAAAAATCAGATAAAAATCAAGACTACAAAATAATCAATAACATAAGCAAATGAACAGACTGTACATTTGCTTTAAACACTTACTTGCAATTTAGACAGGTAATATCTGATTGCAAAAAACCAGAAAACATCTGATCAATAATGCAGTTACAATGTTGATCATTTTTAATATGAAGTTCACTTGGTCCTAAAATAAAATGATACTTAATAAATGCTAATAAATGAACATTTGGATTCACAAAAGCTTTTACATTCAGAATATGGATTTAGGGCAAAATGCATAAAGTAAATAAATACCTTTGCAATGCTGATGCAAAAGATCAAGAATAGCAATAAAACATTCATGTGCATCCTGTTGTTCAAAGCTAGCGAAAGACGTAGCATGATCCCAGAGCATGTCTATTAACTTATTCAGAATTAGAGGAGTATTTCCCCCTGAATAAAACTGAAATACAGAATTCATAGTCTGAATAAAACTGAAATACAGAATACTTAATCTGAATAAGACTGAAATACAGAATACATGGTCTGAATGAAAATAAAAGCTTAAGTTAAAAATCAAAATTAGATAGGATATTTACAAATCAATCCTTTTGTTTCATAAAAATCATAGCTTAAACGTGTACAAAACTATTGATCTTATGTTTCTCAGTTGAGTGAACAATTCTGTTTCACTTCCCAACAATTGTATAATACTTCATGTCATCTAGTCATTAATAATGTGATCTAAAGTAAATTTATTACCATGTTAACTAGCTATCAGACAGTAAATTAACAAATGATAATCTTAACTATAAGCTTCCCCTAAATTAATAATAATAAAATAAAATCATATTTAAAAAATTTCCCCGCCATGCTTAATAGAATCTAATCTTTACAATTGAAGAGGATGCTGAGAAAACGAATAATCATTATAAAGAAAAAAAAAAAAGATTTTAAAAATGAATGAGATCATAATAAGTGGTGCTGTGGCTACAGCGCACGGGTTATTGGACACATCTTTCCCCATCTTAAAGATAAAGGTGCAGATAAATAAGTAAAATAATCTTTTAAAATCACATATAATTTAAAAAACAGTATTTTAATGGCAAATTCTTTCGAGTGGAACACTATTTTTACTGAAGTTTCTGTTTTTGCACTCGATTATCGAATTAAAGGATAATTCATTTTTGCCAATCAAATTATTTTTTATATTTAAATGGTTATGATATTAAGTGCAAATGCATTTTAAAATAGCAAATGTAATAAAAATAAAAACTTTTAGAGAATATTAAAAGTTTAGTCAGTATAATGATAACGACAATTTTAGGGATTTTGTGGAAACTGTATTTTAGAGCCAATAAATACTTTAGAACAGGTCAGTTTCATAAATTAATTAGTTTATATCAAACAGATACAAAAAAAAGAAAAATAAATACAAGTAAACTTTACCAACCGTTATTATAAGGCATAAATATCATTTACAATTGGATTTAGTCCAGCCTAGTTACAAAACTTAAAGATTTTACTATTTTTCTAAATTGTTTTCTGTTTTGAATTCTTTAGGATGTTTGCAATTCTTTCCTCCCAATTTTCTTTTTTTACTTTTATTCCAGGTTGCCTTTTTTTTTTTCCCCTTTTATGTACACAGGTTGGCTTTTAATTTGGAATTCCACACTAGCACAATTATTTGTCCTAGATACTGTCCATAGATCCATACTTTAATGGGCATATTTGATTGTCCATCCTGCTTGACAAATTTATCAATGGATATGGTTCGTTGTCAATGCTAAAAGATGTTCCCATAAAATACTCTAAGCATCATATCTGTTCTATTGGCAATAAGAAATGCAGAAATCATCTGAGACATTTCTTATATCTTCGTTCTCTTTATGTTCCTTTACTAGACCCATTTCTTGTATCTTAGCCACAAACATGATCAAATGAAAGTTACAAACCGGCTACTGGAAATTTAACTTACACTATTGATGGCTGCGGCTTCAAAATCCAATTTTAATATGTCGGTTACACTTACAGGGTTTCGTACACATTGGCACAAGGAAATTAAGTACTTTTAAGGACTTTTAAAGACCATTAATGAAAAAACTTAGGACCTATGAGCAAATGGGAACGAATAAATTCAATTGAAGATATATCTATGCCTGAATTTCCCTTTTGCAATACCATCCTAAAAATAAAATAGATCCTTAAGTAGTACGCATTATTGTAAACATTAATTATTAACATAATTGTTAATAAGTTAGAATAAAATAAACTTTTATGCAATTATCAAGTAGCATTAAATATTTCCTTATAATGTTGTCATATTTGAAAGAAGATAAGTGACATTTACGTTTTACTAAAGTCAGCTTTTGGTTGATTTTTGTTATGTCTCATTTGTCACCTACTTGGTCAGTCTAGAGGATATTAAATAATCAGGCAGATTTTATATCAAACTGCATAGGTTAAATGAAAGTAAGGATCATATCAGCATAATTCATAACCAAAAGACCGAATGTTGTCACCACTGCTGCTTGTCTAGAGAGAGACCTGCTGATTAGAACAAACCTGAAAGGCCTGATGTAGGCAAATGTTGGAAGTTAGTCAGGTTCTGTTTGATGCAGTTAGTGTCGTAGCTTCGTGTACAGTTCCAGGGGTTGTAACCCAGTTAATATACTTTAAGGTTCCAATAAGTCATTAAAGCACCAGAGGTGATGAGTTGTTTTGCATTATTTTAAGTAGATACATAGATTATATTTTTCTTGAATTTTTACATTTTTATATTTTATCTTGTGACCACTGTGAGTATTAATGAAAGGCAATAACTCGCTTTAATATGTAGAGATAATTTTTAAGGGTAACAGTTAGTTATAAATAATTAAATTAGGTAGTTTGATAACCTTAGTCATTATGGATTTTACATGACCACTATAAATTTTACATTTTAATAATTTTTAAAAAAAAGCCCTATTAAAATCAAAATCTAATAAAATTTCACAGTTTAAAATACATGTAATTTATGACACAGATTCTTAAACGATATTACGGATAATTACACATTAAAAGCTACAAAACGTTTATATTTTGTAACAACAACACTCAACAAAATATTTATCCGACATTTTAATTTGAAGCCTTCCCAGACATTTTGGCAAGTTTATATCGATTTCCTTCTCTTTTTAAGCATCTTTTCCTAACAATTAGAAGATTTGTCTCAATATGCAAACAAATGCTCTCTCGCTAGTTTTTGCGTGCTTTATCTCCTAACTTGTCAACCTCTCCACAATGTTCCTATGAGGGTTTAATTTGATCTGGTAAAAGTTAAATAGTCCAAAACCCCCTGACAGAACATGAAGCATATTATCGCTTTATGTCTGAAATTAACTTCAATATCAGACAAAGGTTTAAATAAGCACTCTTATTTAAAATAGAACTTAGAACATGTAAAGGCATGTTCTGATGCTAACAAAATCAATTTAATTTTAATTTAATCTGGCTCAATAACTCTATCATATGAGGAAATAGAAATGGGGAAATTATAGTAAGGTTGAAATCATAAACAATTGGGGTCATTTACATAATAATAACTGCACATACCTATAAGAATAAATTTCTTTATGTATTCAGTTTCTTTCTTCAACAACTTTTCCTTTTCATTTTATAATTTTTGGATTTAATTAAGGATTTATGTTATTATAAAAAACACTAAATGCATTTAGAATGTACAGAAAAAAAGCGGCTAATTTTATTTCTTTAGTAATATGAACATTCAGAAGTAATATGAAATATATATAGTAAAGGCCGCTTAGAGCTGATGTGGCAGAATTTCTAGAATTTAGTGACACACCGAACAAAAAAGTCTAGAAATGGCAAAACTTTCAGAATTTAGAGCAGGCATTGGAAGCAGAATTTAGAAAGGCACTAGGCAACAGAATTCAGGATCCACAGAGATTGCATCAGAAGGGAAAATGCCTAGTGCCAGCTCTGTGTATGATGCATTAAGAAATATTAGATGAATCTTTTAAATTGTAAGTTTTCAATTTCTTTATTAATAAAAAAATTCCTTTCTATAATGCCTGCCCATGTGATAAAATCAGAAGCATTTTTGATATTTTCCATGCTTCTGTCTAGTGAAAAGTAGAGAAAATAAATATGTTAAGATTCTAGTATCAGAAGTAAAACATTTAAATATTATGTTTTCATTGTTCTTCCAGATGTTCTCCAAAATTTAAGAAATTCATTGCAAACTTTCTGTAAAATACATCCATTATGTGTTGCTACCATGGAGACATTTTTCATTTTGTCATATATTTCTCGAATCTTCTAGAATCGTGGGTCTATAAATTTTGCCTTCAAATCCTTTGAAACTTTCCAAGCTGCAATGTTTAAAATCCTAAAGAAAAAATCCCCACCAGTTCTGTAACAGCAAAAAGCCAGAAATATTTTGGGAAAAAATAGGAGGAAAAAAATATAAAATTAATTTTATAGAGAAAACTGATGCACATTCTGAGAATTTTGAATATTCTGAGACAATTACATGGGAAAAACTCTTACTATGAAAAAATTAAAAACAAGACATTTTAAAATTAATTACATCACTAATTTTGCTTTTGCTAAGAGCTGTTTCGTAAATTGTGCTTTATAGCATTATATCTTGTTTATTTTTCAGATTTAAAATATTGTATAAGTAGTTGCCAAAATGAAACTTTATAATATTACAGTGAAAAATAAAAATGTCTTATTTTAATGTTATTTTTTTAAACTATAATTTCAATTACATTACTTATTATTTTGATGAAATTTATTAATGTTATGATGTTTAAAAAAAATCGTCAAAAAATTCTCGAATTAAAAAGTTTACATAGAAACTAATTTTAAAATCGCCAAAATATTGAAAGTCGCCAAATTTAGAACCGTTTAATAAAAGAATTCACATCGGCAAAAGCAAAAAGTTGTTTAAGAGCTCTTTACTAGAAAAAATTAATTTCGAAAGGCTTATGTTTCACTTCTTGCTTAGAAACTCGGATATCCCATCATTTATATTAAAAATAAAAACAAATTATAACTCATGAACCCATTCAAAAGATAACAATATATACGGTAGTGAATCGCCAAAAATACTCCTCAAAATGCTAATTCACACTCAAAATGACAGTCGTAAAAACAGACAGAAATTTCAGATGATTAAAATTAAGGGCCTTCTGATGATTTTGGCCAAAATTAAGGACTTTTAAGGACCAAAAATCGATTCCAAAAGAATCTAAGGACGTTTAAGGACTGTACGAACCCTGCACTTAGGACACCAACGTTTCACTTCCTGAAACACTGCAATGTAAGTTGCTTGTCTCTTATCAGACAAAAATGCAAAAAGCGCTGGATAAATGTTGGTCGTAGTTGCTAAACTCCTTAAGTTGACGTGTGTTGTATATATTTGAACAAATTGTTTCGGACAACTTTTAAATGTTCCACCTAAGAGAAAAGTCTCCATTTTCCAAAAGGTACCAAGATTCTTCTCCTCCAAATATTAAAATTCTGTTATCTTGGTCCTTTTTAAAGTCTAAATGAAGAAAGTTTTTTTCTCCATTAAAAAGCATAAGTGCTTCGTTTGCAAACTGACTGTCGTTGGCATTTTGGGTGGCTCCCAAAGTTTTTCTCCTCTTCTTACATAAAACAGTCTTGTTGGCATGCAGGAATGTTCAGTTTTCTTCAGTAATTCATAATGAAAATTTGTCTTTACATTTCCTTTACAATGATGTGTCTTTTCTTTTACACATACCCAACTCAACATTCTTTTCCTTTTTTTTGTAGAGAGTAATTTTGTTGAAATGGCTATGGGTTCCACCACAGACGTTTTTCAATGCTATAAAACGACATACACACTTCATAAGGATCAAACATCTACTGGGTAAAAATAAAAATTGAGAAAAAACTTTTCTCTTAAAAGTATCAGCTTATCTCTACAGCAAGTGCAAAACTTGAAACCACACAACAGATGACATGTGACGGATTAGGGAAACAACACAATAGGTGCAAGAATGTCCGCTCTGCCCACCCAGCTACCTTCACATGTCCGCTCTGACCACGACGTAACCTAATAAAGTACATAATAATAATAAAAAGCATAATGAAGCTGTACTGCAATCTTTGACCAAATCATTGTGAATCTTATGTTACTGAGAATTTTATTATTTATTATTTTTATTTTTAGTTTATTTATTTATTATTTTTTTGAAAAATAAACTTAGAATTAAATAGATTTCTTATGACAGGCTTCCCTGCTGTCTTTTCTTACAAATTGTGAGGAAAAAAATTACTTAAAATCTAAAATGAAATCTAAAACTTTTCAAAGTGGCAAAATTTTACTTTTATTTGATATTATTTTTGACATTTTTTTCAAATAAGAAAATATGGAAGAAGATATTTTAAAGAAAGCATCACACTTCATCAACAGTAAAAATTATTTTGTGCAGGCACATTAACTTATTTCAATAAGATAATGCAACAAATATTAAGTGCCTTCTTTTGAAGAAGAAAAGCAAATGTTCTTGCACATTTAAAATGTCACTCAATTTTAATGAACTGAACTTAAAGTTTCTATTCAACAGTTTTATGTGATGATTTATGATACAGAATACTTAGCATAATTTTAAAATTAAGGTTATAATGAATGCAATCATGCTTTTAAAAATGTAAATTACAATATTCTGTTTAAAGCATAGATTTGTTAAAAGCAAAATATATTTATTAAAAATAAAAGTATATTTGTTAAAAGGAAAAAAAATTACCACATAAAACTACATTTAAAACTCAATATAAATTAAAACTTAAAATGTAGATGAAAACTTTATAAATTAAGATAAAGGAAAGCTAAAATATTTTCAATAATTTACTACCTCTTGGAATAATCTAGCCATTTCACAACCCAGGCATGAAGAAGGATCATTAGTAGGACAAATGTGTTTTTCAGCAAGAAAATAATCTCGCAGAACAGGTGTATGCATTAGAGCTTGTACAATGCAATTTACAAAACATGTATTTCCCATATTTACAAGACCTCGTAATCCTGAAATATTATAATAAAAGTAAATTTCACACTCATATAAACTAAAGCTTCTAAAATTAAAAGAAACTGAAGCCAAAGCAAGGCAATTCCACAACAATATTAATAATTACATCCTTGTAAAAGTGGTTTAACATAATATCTAAACAATTCAGAATTAAAAAAAGTATCATAGTAGTGCAAACTTGAAAACTAAAAATGGAAAAGGGGAAAAAAAAATATGCAAGATAATAAAAATATAAAAATTAATCTCCTTTTACTGAAAACCTAATTCAGAACTCATCAAGGGAAAATAAATTAGCTTCAAAAAGTCGATTAATTTGCTTCAAAAACATGTTTTACTCTCCTTGTTTATTTGAGACAGAAAAAAAAAAAAAAAAAAAAAAAAAACTTCATTACATTAAAATTCATATAAAACCGAAAAAGTGAATCATACACACACACACACACACACATATATATATAATTCAATATAGGGAAAATAAAAGAAATTATCTCCTAGGAAATCCAAAGTGAAATTTAGTACACTTTTGAAATTTAGTGTGCTACTGTAGTAAAAACTGGCTAGAAACCATTTTTGAAAGCTAATATGCATAGTTGTGGAAACAGTGGAATAAAGAAAAAGCAGTGCAAATTAAAAAAAGAAAAACAGTACTATAAAACAGAAGCTCCTGCACTGCGCTACAACCAGCAGCACTGGGAGATGGCCTCTTTTGTTACCTGTCCTAGAATAGTTGTCATGCCGTTTTGAACAGTTTGAATTATGTGAAAACACTCTGCATGTAGAACTAATTTAATAATTCTGACAAAAAAGCAGACAGAATCCAAACTTCTTTGCTAAAAATAAAAAATATCAACGAATTTTCAAAAGGTTCTTTAACTCTCTTAGCTCATGACTCAATACATCCTAAATGATGCCATTCCTATATATTTTCTATATATTCACTTCCTTCAAAGACCATGCAAACCTCACTAACATCTAAATTTAAGTATCACAAGTTTTATAATTATTATAAAATTTTTCCATGAATATTTTTAACACAGAAGTACATATGAATCTTTTTAGTTTTGGTTAACTAAATAAAAATCTGGAAATGTACATAAAACATTTTCAGAAATTGTGTGGCAATTTTAAATTATACTTTGGACATTTAGATCATAGTGCTGTTTTCAAAAGAAATTATAAACATTGAATATAACTGATGATTCAAAATTTATTGAATTGTTAGTTGATACTGAAGCTAAGCCACTTTTTAAAAATAACATTTTCAATTACTTTTGAACTAACATAAATGTACAAAAATATCTGAAACTTTTCACAATGTGGTATTTCTATTTGTACTTGCATTTCCAAGATCATATATAACTGAATCTGGTTTTAGTGATGTTAATTTTCCCTTAACAAAACACAGAAAAATGTTAGATGTAGAATTCCATGAACTTCACAAATATTAAACCAAACATTGTCAATTTTGCCTACAGCCATTGATCACACCTATCACAATGAAAGTGCCCATTAATTCTACTAACTCAATAAAAGTTTTAGTGCAATGCATCTAAAAGATATATTAGATCTAAATCTAATATATCTTTTAGATAAATATATTAGATCTAAATCTAAAAATCACATAAGGACTTTTTTTTGGGGGAGGGAATGGTGCAAGGGGCTCATAAAAAGTTGAGGAAAGGCCAAGAATAAAAAAAAGTTTGAGAATCCCTCTGTAAGAGCTTTTATAATCACAATTATTTTATTTATCAGTTTCTTGAATGAAATGTTAATAAATGATCTCAAGATGGGATTGAGGTAATTCAGTGGAAAAAAGCATTCACACTCACAGTGCATTTAATTATATTTTTAAAAAAAGTTTAAGTACTTTTTTATTTAATAATCTGCAATGTATGAATACATTTTAAATATTTACTTATGTATTAATACAGTAGACACTGCTTAACATGATAGCAGTTAATGTTATTGATTTTTTTAAATCCTACTCATTCCTATATGAAAACATGGAAATTACATAGCTTATTATAATCAACAGTTCAGTTAATATAATCAAACTATAACAGAATAAATGTTTTTGCAGACTGTTTTTTCTCCCCCCTTAAATGAAAAGTTACTGAACACAACTATGACAAACCAAGGAATTTTTTTTTAATAGTTCACTTAAAATTTGACGCAGGCATGTTTTTTTTTTTTTTTTTTTTTTTTTTTTTAAATGAGGGATGCCTTTCAGGCATTAAGATTAAGGGTAATAATTTCTAGAAACGTTATGAACACTTCATAAACAAACTTTCACATTTTCCTAATTAAAATGATGTGAGAATACTATCCATTTAAATGTTTCATATTAAATTAGTTAAATTCCATTGCTGCTTTGAAGGATATTTTTTCCTCATCATTTAATACTATGGACAAATGTGATACATTAAGCAGTCCTAAGTATAATCCAAACTTAATGCAAAGACTAGAAAAGATATAACCATAACTCAAAAAAGTATGGCTCAAAATTCTCAGTGTATGCAGGCAATCAAATTGGTACATTATATAAAAATTATGTAGAGTAATTTATATCTTGGTAAGTTATATATGCATATTTACATATCATCGCATGGCTATTCTTAGACAGTATTTGGCAAAAATATTGATTAATTTGTGATGAGATTTTCCAGAATATTCTTCATTTTTGGCTTTCCAAAGTCTGACTGTCTTAATTAACTATTCAGTTATTATGAAACAAATTGCTAGAATAATGTTAAGGATGTCATTATAAGGTTGTGTAACATGCATAAAATGAAAAGAACTAAGACTTACCTAAATATGAATTACCAATAAATTTTCTAACTTGACATTCTTTTAAAATCTGTATTTCTGTAGAACTTGGCTCCCAAGGAGAATATAAGTCTAATCCTAAATGAGGGGGGACAAAAAGATACACTAAAACTCATTCAAGAATTTTCCTTCATCAAATCCTGAATTTTCTTACTTCAATAACACTACCTTTTTTACATAAAATGTTTTGTCTTGAAAAATTTTCCTACTTAAGAAGTTGATTATAATCTTTTAAGAAACTTTTCCTTCAGTCTGTAAACAGGAATTTTTCTTTATTTTCTCAAAGAAATAATTCTGATTTCACTTATTTCCCCAGTCTGAAATAGAATGGAAATCAACAGTTTAGTTTTTAGCAGTGATAACCTTTTTCCTTATCAGTGTCTCTTTACTGACCAACTGACTATATGTTGATTGTGGTTACCATAATGATTAGCAAGATCCTAGGAAAATTTAGCTATATAAGGTGGTGCAAAAAGTTGCTTACATTTTCTGTCTGCTTTCTTTCTTGATACTTTTATAATATGCAACATAGACTTAGAATGGGAAAAAGAAGAATGCCAGTCAACTTTTCAATCCATTTTAAAATAGAATAACCAATTCTGAGGAAACTTCAGTGTTTCAACGCATTAAAACATTGCATAAAATTATAATAGCTACAAGAACTCATGAATAACTAGAAAATTTTGTGAAGACTATTTAACTCTTAAAAAAAAATACGGAAAATTTTACTCTTTATGGATAAATGCACAGCACATTAAAAGTGTTAACCTTTATGAAAATATAAAAAAGAGTTTTCTTGCCAGTGACCAAAGAATTATTGACATATTTATGCAGTGTTTTCATGCATGATGATACATTGGCTCCTGCAAAAATAAGAATCTGTGGAAAAGTATGAAAGCTCAATGCTTTAAAGTTTATGCATTTTACGATGAGACTAAATAATATGGGAATCAATTATGACAAACTGCTTAAATAAAGCAGGATTTTCTCTTGGAGTATAACTGAGGAATAAAACCTTGGCATTAACAAAAATGATAGGGGCACACAACACAATAAAATGGATTTCAACTAAACTTTCAATGAGCTTGTAAATGTGGATAATGACATTATACTGTGAGAAATTTTAGCTAAAAAATTAAAAAAAATTAAAAAATTAAAAAAAATGGAAATTTGATAAAAGAACCATGAACTAATTGTTCCCATTTAAGAAAAAACAGTACATATTAGATTGAAAATGTTCTATCATTATGTAGAAAGTCAAGAAAATTTTCCCTCACACATGAAGATTATCTATCTAAGGGGTGTGGATACCCTCCTACAGAAATGTTTTAAGGAAATGGACTTGTATTCATGTTACACATGGAGAAAACCATAAAAAGTCCCATTAGCCAGTCTATTCGGTGGGATCTAAATCCAGGCAAGAATTTATGACAACTTCAGTTGTCATTTACAGCTGATTAAAAAGGGCAGGAACAGTCAATATTAGGTATTTTTTCATAAAATTAATTAATGAAAAATTTGCAGAAAAATATATAAAAAAAATTCGAAGAAAATGCTAATAATTTTGTTCTGTTTTTGCATATTTAAATAAAAATTAAAGCATTTCTAAAATAGCTTAGTTTAAATTTTAATAAAAGAATTAGGTTTTAAAACACTAATTTAATTAAAAAGAAAATTTTATGTGAATTATTTAAATTCAATTTTAAAATAAAAATAAATGGATTTTAATATCAAAACAATAAGTTACAAGTTTATTATTATTGTTACGATTACAGTATCTGTGAATAACTGTGCCTTGGAAAATTTTTTAACATGTTTGCTGCTGATCACACCATGATGTGTGATGTGATGTTATCACTGAAGAGTCAATCATGCACTGGTGCAGGAAGTACAGTGCCTCATTGTTTATTCTCCAGTTCAATCAGCATTACATTGAGTATGTAAACTTGTATTGCCATGGAAAAAAGGTTAGAAACTAGTTGTAAATATACTAAGTTAAATTAAAGCAGAGTTTCGTTAAATGCAAAGATTACACACAAATAACATTATTAAATATATATTTTGTTATAATATCATTGTACTACCTTCTAATAAATTCATTTGCAATATATATATTTGTAATACAGTTTCATACAAAAATAATACGTACATACTGTTATTTATTTTTCTTATTTTGATTTATTTTTAAAAGCCACATACCAGCATGTAAAATGGCATTGGGGAAATAATTTTACCTCTAGTGCCAGTCACATGCTTGTGTGTAGTCATATAATTCTTTGATTAAATGCTTAGCAATGAGTGTCATAATCATCTTCTATTATATTTTTTAAATCATATTTCTCATAATAAGTCAGTCAGCATATGGATATAACCTACTTCTATATCAGGACAATAATCATCAACATAATCTCTAATGACTGGCAGCGAAAGTGTTAAATAGCTTGTGCTATATTTTTATCCATGATAATGTAAATATACACACACATGCATATATCTATGTACACATGCATTACTTTTTACATAAGGTGTCTTTGTAAATACCATTTGAAATTTCATTCCTGCTTGAAAATGAATGCATGAACAAGCTTTTGGCTTTCTTTGCACAGAATTAAATGCTATTTGCACTCATGGCATCAGTCCACATACTTCACAGTGTGAGGCTAAAATGTTAATTGAAAACTACAGACATTTATTGCCAGATATGTGAAGTGCTTGATTAGAATGCAATAATTGACTAAGTGTAAAAATGGATGAGAAGTGTGTTGGAGCCTGATCGTCTGCTATACAAAAACTTTCTCCTCTACCGTCTTTGCCTAGCAACGAATCTTGTAATGCGCATGTGTCAATATCGTCTGTTTTTTGTAATTCTTTTTATTAGCTTGTTCGATGAAAATTTTGGTGCTTGGATTTTTGAATGGCTGCTAATTAAGCGGTTAATTTTTCACTAAAATAAAAGATGGATTTAAAAGAAAATTAGTTTCGTTATTTCGTAGCTACAGTTCATAACAGTGGTGGTCTGATGAGCCGGAGAGGAATTGGCTAAATAAATTGTTGTTTCGAACGTTAAAAGCAATAAAAACTTTAGTTTGACAGTGTATTAAAAAAAGAAAATGGCTAACGCAGATGATGAACTGAACAGTAGAGATAATTCTGCAGTATTGTTATTAGATGAAAAATTAAAAGTGCTGAATCGACGTCGTGGAAACTTTAAAACTAGGATTACAAAATTAGAAACTTTTTTGAAAGATTCAAATTTGAATGCTGACAAGACATGCCTTCAAATCAAATTGGATATGGTTTTGGACATATTATCTCAGATCGAATCGTTGCAACTGCAATATTATGATGTCATTGATGATGAAAATTTATTGAATGTGGATTTAGAATTTGAAGAAATGACCGTTTAGAAGAAATAAAGGTAAGCTTACAAACATTATTATTAAATTCAGATTTAGTTGATAAATCTTTAACGAAAATTATTAAGGATCCTAATACTATCTCTATTAAGTTACCTGATTTAAGCTTACCAGAATTTGACGGTTGTATTGAGAAGAGTAATTTTTAAAAACAATTTGATAATTTGATTACAAATAACTCTTCTTTAAATGATATTCAAAAATTGTTCTAATTACGTTCTGCATTAACCTTTTGAAGACGGGATGGCCATTATAGTGGCCATAGAGTCCTCTCTTTGAAAAACGGGGTTGTCCACTTAGTAGCCATGCCTTTTTCCCCCCATTTTCCAGGCTGAAAAACGGGGTGAAATGTCAAATTAGACGTCCCTGGGGTTTTAACCACTTATCTCTTTCAAAGGTCTTCCTTTTGTGACATAGATGCACCCCTCTGGGAATCCATTAAACTACACACAAGAATCTTGGTTGCAAATAGGAGGTGATTTCTTAAAGGGGGAAAGCATTTGGTTCAAGATTCCCCGTCCTTTGGTAGCATTTACTGCTACCAAAGCCCAGGCCTCAAAAGGTTAAAAGGAGATGCGAAAGCTGTAGAAACTCCAGAAGACAGTTTTCAATCTTTATTTGAGGTTTTAATTGATAGATATGAAAATAAACGGTTGATTGTTAATTCTCATATTATGAATATTTTAAATTTTGAGAAAATACATGTTGAATCTTATAAGTCTTAGAAATCTAGTTAATATTTTGAACAAAAAAACTAAGAGGTTTTAAACTTAATGAAATTAGAAGCTAATGAACTAACACGTCAATTCCTAATAAATATTGTCATTCAAAAGTTAGATAAAGAAACAAGAAAACAATATAAACTGAGCTTAACATCAGCTGAATTACCCAAATTTAGAAGGTTCATGGAATATTTAGAAAAACGATCCCAAATGTTAGAAAATTTACATAGAGTTCAATTACCGTCACTAAAAACTAAAACTTCTTATACAAATAAAACCAGAAAATTTTCTGTTAAAGTCCAACAGCAATTCCTGCATATTGTGTAAAATGTCACATTTGGTATATAGTTCTTCTTTATTTTTAAAAATGACTCCATTGCAAAGATTTAATATTGTTAAAAAACATGCACTTTGTATAAACTGTTAAGTGATAAATATAAGCTTACATCATGCAAATCCAAATATTCTTTTCGTTTATGCCAAGGAAAGCACAATTATCTATTATGTTGGTCTGAAACTAAATTTCCTCGTGTGAAAAAACTTCGCCAGATAAAGATATTTCACCAAGTTTGCAATCGGAAAATCTTCCCATTTCAGATACTGCAGATGCTCCCTACTTCACCCGATGTAATAAAAAATCCAAACTTAACTGAAGTGGGTAAAGACTTTTGCATCTTTAAATAAAATGTCAAACAAAAACAGTTTTGCCTTCTACAGCCATGATTAAGGTTCGGTCACCAATTCGGAGAGATTATGTTATATTAGCAGCAGAGCGATACTTGACAGTGCATCTTAATCGCATTTTATGACCTTGCAGTTTGCTTCTTTGCTTGGTCTTCACAAACATAAGGTAAATATTCCTGTTAATGGTTTTAGTGGAAATATAAAGAATATTAAATGGAAATTAAATGACATTCTCATTAGTAATAATGACTCTTCT